TATTCAACGTTCCAAGAAATAATATGAATTAACTTGGTAATCCAAATTGACAATGACTCCGGGTGAACACAAAATGATGAAAATTGGAACGAATTTGAAGAAAATATTATAGTTTTCACATGGCAGAATGGCTGGTTTCCAAGCCTCGGCCATCCTCGGCTACGCCTAGGCTATAAAACGCCAGCCGCGCCATCAAATCTTATCTGTCTCGTACAACAAATAACTATTATTGTTACACATAGAGCATATTCCGATATTCCCGAACAGTACTGCCGTATATTTCGTCGTTCCGATTTCATTGAAATTTACTGGCAATTAGACGCTGAGAGTTTACTGTTGACCACCGGTGCAGAAATGGTGATGTAATGCCAGTATTCATGAAATGTTAGGTTAAGCGTTCGAATGGTGAGGTATGTGTCGATAAAAATTATATATTATTATTTTCAAATTCTTTGGGAAAATGTATGAAGTCGAAAGGAAGATCTCACAGTGGCAGTAGACGTAGAGGTACTAGAGCTTGGTGTTCCTGAAGAACCAGAATCACTAGCGGATAATATGTCTCCTAAGATAATATGATTAACCACTCCATCCAAAATTCCAACGTGAGTAAAGAAGATGATACATCTGACCTCATTGAACCTATATGGAAAATAATGCGCGGCTAGCACTGCTCTCAGACTCAATGCAGTCTCACCATGGCCTAAGGTAAACTACGGTCACTCCAAAATTCTGAAAGAATTCGATCTCACCTTAAATAACACAGACTACACGAAACCCACCCCGATGTTCGACCGCAAGTTCTCGTTGGACATTCCGTCCAGAGAGAGAACTTAGTTAAGCCAAATGGGACGCTCTTCTATACAGATGGCTAAAAGCTAGAGGGGAGAGTAGGAATTGGAGCCTTCTCAGAGACCCCACTCCTCAAACTTCATTTCGTTTACCACTACTGCAGTGTTTTCCAGGTCGAAATGGTAGCTATAAATGAAACAGCCAATTGGGTACGTCAAACCGAACTTGAGTCCAATGAAATATCTATTCTAAGTCATAGCCAAGTTGCCATTAAGTCTCTAAACTCAGTCTACCTGACTTCAAAGGTGGCTATACAATGCCGTAAAGCCTTAGATGAGCTGGCGACTAGAGTAAGAGTCAATGTTGTCTGGGTACCCGGCCACAGGGACATAGCAGGCAATTGTATGGCGGACAAGCTAGCAAGAGCTGGTACGACGTTCGCAGCTATATCCGCTAATACTAGACCAGAGGCACCTATCGCTGAACGGAGGTTGCTCCTCCGGAAGGAAGTACTCCGCCTAACCAATCTTAGGTGGCGGGAGGAGCCTTTTTGCACCTCGTCTAGACAGGTATGGCCGCAGCTTAACCTGAGACGTACTAAAGATATTTTATTTCTTCCCAGGAGCTCCATTGGAAACGCGATTGCGGCCATCACTGGACACTGGCTTGGAGGATGTCATGCTGCACGTATGGGTATCCTACAACGTAATGACTTCTGTAGAAGCTGTCAAGACGAGAAGGAGGAAGAGACGATGGTCCATGCACTCACTCTGTCACTGCCCTGCTCTATCCAGGAAAAGATCTTCTGCTATCGGGCAGCCCTATTTTGACAACCTATCCGATCTTCAGTCGGTTGAGATCAAAAGCCTCATGACCCCATACAGCATCACAAGAGGCCTCTGGCCTACCTGGGTTCCACCCCGGACCACCGTGTTAACCTAACCCATACAACACATGACATCCATTGGACGTCCATTTTAGGTTCATTTCAATTCCAAACGTTCATGGACATTGAATGGACATCCAATGTACGTACAAACATGGATTATCATTGGATGCTTCAAATTGTATGTACAGTGGGCGTCCACTCAATGTCCAACCACGCATGTACGTAGAATGTACATTCATCGTACTTATAAAGATGGATGTACAATGTATGTTTCAAAATTACCGTCCGTTGGGCATCCATTTTATGTCAACTCAAGGACTAAAACTCTCGTGGACGTTTGATCAACATCCATTGTACGTACAGAGACGGACGTACATTGGATGATTCAAATTAAACTTACATTGGATGTCCATTTAATGGTCATCCTGAGTTCAAGCGTTAATGGATGAAGAATGAACATTATATTTATATGTATATAAATAATTGTTCGATGTAAATGTTTCTATGAAATCATTTTAAATCTGGAGGTTTATGGACGTTAAATGAACGTACATTGTACGTTCAGAGATGGACGTAAGACTATTGATTTTTCAGCCACCTCGAGGGGAGGCAGAAGGTCAGATCGGTCGGTAGAGTAGCGGTAGCGTCTGGCGTGATTCTGATACCATTTTCAGTTGGTAAATGACCGTGAACATGAAGTGTTGTGTTTCTGATGAATTGTGGAATGCAGAATATTCAGGACCAGATCATTCAAAGTAGGTATGAAAGCATGCATGTTCGAATGTGACTTCATATATTATCTAATATAGTTATAATCTTATGCTTTATCATCCTACAGGTTGTTTTTAATGGGCGGTTTGATAGAAAAAGTACCTAAGTATATAGCAATGTAAATAAGGCTTCATTCACCAGTCAGAGTTAAGCTGAACAGGATTTGGGGTATAGACAATCTATTTCTACCTATATAGCAACATATAATATTCCTCTTTTACTACAGGAACAAGAATTTGAAATGGACTGAAGAAGACATGAATCAACAATATATATATATATATATATATATATATATATGCAATCGACACCAAATATATATTCAATAAAAGAAGCTATATTTGATACCTACTGATTTTTCATCATTTGATTCCCAAAGATGAGCATCCATTATGTACCCACATGTAATTATCCAATCTACGTCCAAAGTGGTGTCCTCAAGACATCCAATGGACTTTCATTGGACGTTTAACGTACGTCCAATGGATGCTCAGACATGTACATCCATTGTGAGTCCAAATATGAACATCCACTGTACATCCACATGAAGACATCCATAGTACGTCCAAAGTGGTGTCATCAGTGGACGTCCATAGGATGTTGAACGTCCACTTGAGTACTTCCGTTGGACGGCCTTACGATCCGACGTGGACGTACATTGTACGTACATTGGACATACATGTGCTGTGTGGGAACCTAAAGAAGATGATGATGATGAAACAAAAAACAACAAAACAAAACATCGAAAATCAAAATATCATTGGTTATGTTTTGCTGCCAGTATACCAGTACAATCGTTCCCAAATGAAATGAAAATTCAAAACTACTACTAATGTTTCTAAATTGCTTACTGTGGCTAGTAATGTCAGCAATATCGGAACATGGCGGCATAATATTTCGTCCTATCGAAAGAAACAAGATGACGGATACTGGTAAGAGTGGTGAGTCAGATTAATTCTGACAGTTCAATGTGAACAAGGTTTCATCGACGACCATGCATTGTTATAAGTAATATCACGATGTTCTGAATATTCGAGATAATTCTCTGTCGCTTCATTGTTCACGAAATTGTGTTGCCGACCATCACCACGAGTTCGTCAGGAAGTGTGGTATTGCTATACGGCATCACAATTGAGTTAACAATGAGAGACAACATCATGAGGATATCCTCAGAATAGAGTGGTATTTTGCTAGACTAGTTCACGAAGCATCAGAAGCAATTATTATGACTGAACAAGCCATAAACTCAACCAGAGTGATTCATTCTGACATCTACAGCTATAATTAATTTATGTCGAACTGAAAATTATCTTTGCTATCCATAGGGACATCGTTGAAAACACCAACGCTGTTAGTCCAATCAGAATGGAAAGACACCTAGGCTTTTCGCGATAAGCACACGTTGTCTCTGGCTTGCGATAGGTCAGATTTCGTAAGAATCTCAAGATGGGTGAAATAGTCAGTATAATACTGAATGATGGGCTAGAGTTTCGCATTGCTATTGGTTGAAATGCATGCATGTGAAAATAATAATCGATAATATTTCGAGCACTCAAAGACCGTGGTATTTACCCCTGACTATAGGTCGCGTGCACGATGACCGACCCTGGAGGCAAAATATTGAAACACAACCTCATTCTTCTGTGAATTATTGAAACACAACCTCACTTTTTTACTTGGTTACAGAGGAATCAAAGGATTGAACTAGTTTTTCACAATATTTTGGCAAACGAATCGTGTTTTTTGCGCTATTCATTAATTCGAGCATGCCTTCGCATTGTGCTGTTGTACAATGCACAAAAAATGCAGCAAGAGACTAAAGAATATGATTTTTCAGGTAAATAGTAATCTCACATAGTTATCATTATGAAGTGTTGTCATTCCTTATTAAAATTCCTTCTGCCTTCTGTCACTTCTGCAATACAAGCTAATACTGCTAATAGATTGAATATGTCTACAACACACACGATCGTCAGCATGTCAGACCAGTCCTCCCGATTGATTGCATGAATCCAATTTTCTGGCATTATTTTGAAATTCCAGATATATTCCTATTAGCTTCTATCGCAGAAAGAATTCCGATGAGAAATCAGAGAAATTACCAAATTTCAAAAATGAAAACTATATGTGAGTGACTATAGTAGGTACTTACTTTTGAATCATATTGTACCAACCGGATTACTTCGTCTTCCGCTGCAGTTTTTGTGCATTTCACAACAGCATAATGTGATGGCATGAGCGAATTGATGAATAGCGGAAAAATACGATTCGTATGCCAAAATAATTGTGAAAAACTATTTCAATCACTTATAAACAAATAAGTAAAGTGACGTTTGTGTTTCAATATTTTGCCTCCAGTGTCGGTCATCTGACAGTTCTTGCACGCAACCCATATTCCAGGCAGGTCAGGTTATAGGTTAGATTAGGTTTCGAAGTGGAAACAATCTGTTTTAGGATGAAAATGATGCAAACTATCTGAATGTTTTATTTATAAACGAGTAGAACGACTAGTTTCACAATTTGCCTTTATTTTGCATCATTATATACTCACTATTCTCTGGTTACTGCGCATTGTGCCGCTGTTAAAACAAATCTGTCACTAATCAGAATACCCCCACATCCCCAAAGAGTGGTATTTTGGCGATGGAAACCAAGTTGTACCTGTGGGATAAAATCTATGATGATGTACAAATATAACGTTTGTTAACGTAATCATTATAATTCATGGATTTCAGACTTCCGCATTGTACCACTGAAAAAATCTATGTCACTAATCAGAGTACCCCCACACAACCAATTTGAAATCTCTCGGTTATACATAAACTAAAACATATTGAAACTAAAGTTCTGAAAATTGTCTATATGACGCAAATATTAGACTTCGATACAGTGTAATTTATTGTGGACCTTCGAAAAATTATTCATACGTAATTCAAAAATATGCAGTCCACTTAATTCTTGGCCTCGAAATGAGATAATCGTGTCGCCCACATTTTATAAAACTAAACACTTTGATCTCACTAAACTCATATATCATAGAATAATTAGGTATCATATGTACATAGACATAAACAAGAAGTCAAATTCTCAAAACCAATAAACACCGACAAAATAACAACACTATTCTACTGCCCCAGAACCATAAAGCTCTTTTTCAGAAAAGCGCAATGTTTGTTGGTGCTCAATTCTATAACAAATTTTGGGTGACTTTATAAAAACTTAGAGCATTTAAGAATTTACATTCAAACATTGAAGACTTAAGTGGTTTCAGTAATAAAAAAATTCAAGAATATAGGGCGATACATATCTTCTGTCATTACTGACATCTATAGTTTCTAATACAGAACCAGATTTTCAAAGTTTAGTAAGTTAGAAAATTATTGGAAATCAAAATTTCATGTTCTGATATCATTCTATTAATCCATATCTATGTACGGTTCAATATACATATTTTCTATCAGAAGAAAAACAAATATTCAGGAATAACAACCCAAGATATTTTGGTTGATTTTTGAATGGTGGGAAATTGAAATGTCACTTTTGGATGCGCACTCCTTATTCCATTTATGATCATTTATCAGCACTTCTTAGGTTGAAAGTTGGCCATCTCCTCAAATCATAAATGTAAAATCATGAGTCTTAAATGGTTTCATAATAAAACCCATGATATTTCCATGTTTCATCTGTTATAAGTGATGAGCCTTAAATGCTTGGTGATAAATCTTGAGACTTAAAGTTTTTCATAAAGTGGCCCTTATCAATATCATACAAAAGATGAGATGTGTGAAAAAATTAATAAATATATTATTGATTGAAAAATGTTATTACAGTGAATTTATGGAAAATAATATGCCACATAATTATTAATAATCATCGTCAAAATCATATTATTTAATTACATATAAATGATATATAGAAGGGTAGATGAACATTAAATATATAGAAAAGGAATATTCTCAGATATATTTATGAAAACAAAAAAATGGATATATATATATATATATATACAGTGTGACCCACTTCAAATGGAACCACCCCTGTATCTCATGTAATCGTTAGGTAAGGATCCTGAAATTTGCTGGAGCGAGAGATATACCAAAAATGCACTCTATGAACAAGTGGGGTCATTTTCAGTGTTATACACTGCTCGCCAAAAGCCATGGAACCACCCCAATTTCAGGAAAATGATATTAGGAGTCAAAATAGGTTGAAAATCACTTCGGATTCGGAATCAAGTCGCACCCTTCACTAACTATCCATAGTTTTCCTAGGAAATTTTCAGTTCAGAAAAATTAAATTTTGTCCCATTTCTCATGGAAGCACCCCCGTATCTCACGTAATTATTGAGGTAGAATTCTGAAATTTGCAGGAGGAAGGGAAAGTCCAAAGATAATAGTTATTTATGTATCAAGGGCGTAAAATAGGCTTTTATGGACCGCAGCGTGTAAGTAATAGACCGAGCGATAGCGAGGGCTATTAACACGCCTAGGTCCATAAAAGCTAGTTACGCCCGAAATACATACAACATTTTATGCACGACCTGTATATATTTGATATCTCATGTAGGTATCTCTTCACCCCTCAAGCACAATAAAAATACATCACGGTTGCAGTGAGACTGTATTGTATCCATATCGCAAATACAATTAATCAAGAAGTATGGAATCAACGTTACCATGGCAACTCAGTCAATTTTTCGAAATAGGAATTAATAGCAGAGATGTATAGAAATTTAACTGGTGGGCTCACTCTTCAATTGTTTCGTCAGACTAACTCTCGATATGGAACAATTGCAAGCGAGTTTTGGACGTGGGGTTCAGGTATTTGCGAAAGAGGCGCCATAATCGGAAAATCGTTCAAAACCTTGGTTCAGTCAGTTCTGTGAGGGATGAATCTATTATTTCCATCATTGTTCTGTGGTGGAATAAATACTGTGCTCAATATTTTCATTCAAAATTCAATTTGTAATAGAAGCAAGAAATCTTTTTTGTAGCCGATTTTAATAAGCTTCACTTCTTACATGACATGAACCTATTTAAAGCATAAAATCTGATGAATTTCCTCTCTGAAGAAACAGAACAAAGAATGAATCATAATAGGCAGATATGGTAACTGGTAGGTACTCACCTTAGAATTTATTCACACCAGTTCACGCTAATATTTCAAATCACTGAAATAATACTGTTGTAGAACAGAGATTTTCTTTTTTCTTTGGTGGGTAAGGTATTGTACACAAAATTTAGAAACTACGGAACACGTCCCTATCGAACACTTGACCCAAATCTCAGAAATAACCATTTTTTCAGCTCATGAATATTTTTGACACATTGACGTTTCGATCCTTTGATCAGGAATCAGTTCACTGCTCTGATCCAAATCATATACGTATCCAAATATTTAGCGGTCGGTAATATGTTTCCTGTAAATATGGATTGTAACCAGGATGAGCTTAGCGAGATTTACCCACGTCAAGTATGTTTATCAAAGGTTTATCAGAGTAGGCGCCATCGAGAAACTTGCAAACGACCAAGCGCACCAGTTGAATTTCTATACATCTCTCCAGTAGCCATATTAACTGTCAATTTGTGTAATCATATCATACATAATTCATTAGTGATTTCAAAATGCATAGTGATGAAGAAAGTGTGAATTGTACTCCACCAGAAATTAGTGAGGCAGTTGAGGAAGCAAAATCGAGTTTATTGCCAAGTAAATCAAAAAAAATATACGACAAAGTATACGAAGAATTCGTAAGCTGGTAAGACAGAAATGATGTAAAAAATAAGAACTACACTGAAAGCTGAATAAGCTGAAGATTGCTAAAATAACGTAGCAACTGATGAGCCTTCTACTAGCCATTGTAGACAATCTGAAAATATTGCTAACTACTCTCAACTACCAGATAATGGAATTACTTCTTTTCAGAATTCTAGTAATATGGAATCAGTTGGAATCAGCTACCTGCAACAGCAGAAGACAACAAATCCAAATATATCCATAACTAACTGTTATGATTGTATTATAAATATTAAGTTATAACTCGTTATTTATGTTAATTGATTCGTTTTATTATTGTTAATAAAGTTTTGGGTTTGATCATATAATTTTGCATTACAGAAATATAAAGAAAACTTTAATATTCAAATGAGCACTCCTGTATAATTCAGATCTATTTTCCCAATCATTTTGCATTAATTGAAACCATTGGAATCTAGATTTCTATCGATATGACAGTGACATTAGCTTTACCACCCCACCAGCTCAATGACTTTATCGCCCGCCGGGCGGTAAAGTAGTCCGCGGGCGGTAAAGTGCCACTTTACGCCTGCAAACCCGGGCGGTAAAGTGCTACTTCACCGCCCCGGTTTACCGGTCGTGCATAAAGTCAATTACGTAAGATACGGGGGTGCTTCCGTGAAAAGTGCGACAAAATTTAATTTTTCAGAACTGAAAATTTTTCAGGAAAAATATGAATAGTTAGTGTATTGGGCATCCTGATTCTGAATCTGAAGTGATGTTCAACCTATTTTGACTCCTAATATCATTTTCCGGAAATTGGGGTGGTTCCATGGCTGTTGGCGAGCAGTGTATATCACTGAAGATGACCCCACTTGGTCATAGAGTGCATTTTTGGTATATCTCTCACTCCCAGCAAATTTCAGGATCCTTACCTAACGATTACATGAGATACAGGGGTGGTTCCATTTGAAGTGGGTCACACTGTATATAAAGAAGTACATTGAGAATTCGCATTTTGCTCAACGCCCAGATTTCATAAAAGAAATATTTGATCTTGCAACAAACGGAATGAAAATTATCTAGTAAAATGGCATGTTTTGAAATAAATTGTATCACAGTTTGAATCATTGGATTAACATTTATTTTATGTATATATCTACTTAAAGATCTTTATTCATATATTCTCTATTTTCAAGGGTTAAGTGGAAGAGCATTATCTGAAAATCCTTGATTTACAGGAAATGAACTTCGCCCTTTATTTCCACTTATAGTATTTATAAGATAAGATTGATGTTTATTTTATGTATGGAAATAATAAAGACGATATATTATATATTATTATTATTATTATATTTATATATGTATTTATAAATACATATATAAATAGACAATAATACTTATAAATTAGTAGTTAGTATATGAACATATACAATTATTATACAAATAACAATTAAGAAGCAAAAAGCATAAATTGTGTAGCGAAATATAAACATAGATAAAAAAAGTAAGTATATACACAGGAATATGGTCGATTTCCACATACATCATACATTTTTTGAACAATTATTATACAAGGGGCATGCACATTTGATAAAATGTAGAGAATATGATATATGAGGACCATCAGAGACGAACAAAGATATTTGAAAAAGCACAGATTATACTGGGATACCTATAATATGTCATTACTAGTTGTTTCAGTCATGTCAGAATCATCGAAATATTCTTGTAATGAATAGTGGGCTTTTGAGAATAGTAGCATTTTCAGTTTCTTTTTAAACTTTTTGAAAGGTTTGCAACTATTGAGACTGTTAGGAAGCTCATTATATATTTTGATGCAACTAGCATGTTGGAGATTTTTCAAATGTTGTTGTTCTGTGGGCAGTGGTCAGTAGATTAGTGTCGTTTCTTGTATGGTATATTGATGGTGGTCATTATTTTTTTCTATAGTTTCTGTATATTTTTTTGACATACAACTCTTGAGAATAAGAATGGAGTAGGAAGTCAAAATTTTTTTGGCTACTATCATACTAAACATCAGCCTAACAATCCATTTTTGTGCTATGAATATTCTGTTAACCCCTGTTGCATTTCCCTATAGTGTGATATGAAATGATAAGGCAGGATAGACAGGTGCATAGTATACCTGGATTAAAATACTTTCATGTATAGCTCATATATCAGTTGCATGATTGCAAAATATGATTTGGAAATTTTTGATGTGTACGTCCCATGCGAGTGTTATATTACCAAAGAAGGGGAGTGTTGTATTTCTCAATGAAATGGTACCTATCCTATAACATATATATGAACACCAATCATTGTTTCAAACATTAATTATATGTACTCAAAGAGATTTTTAAACGAAAAGTGTTTATGATCCGATTCTGAACAACGCTCTCACAAGAAACTGTTATGTACAACATATCATTCGATTCGTTTAATGGTCTGGACTGATACTCTGGAAGTCACGGGTTCTAGAGTCACTGGATGGTATTAGTTTGATAAGAGTTCGGACACAGAAATGACAACGGTTAGGATTTTGGAATGTTTAGATTTATCAAGTTACACACCTTGCATTGTGACAAGAGCATCATAGTCGTCCCGCGATTTTTCATTCAAAATTGTTTGTATTTGACAATTCATTTTATAAACGTCAGAATTGAAATAAAATTTCATAATTATTATACTTTCGAGATAAAAGCAGCTATGGAAATCAATTGCTGTCTAATAAATTGTGCCAATTATGAAACAAATGGATATCATTTATTCGATTTTCCAAATCAAATATCAAGCATTCGCTTATGGAAGGAAGATATGAAACGGCCTGGGTGGAAAATCAATTTGAAGACGAGCGGAATTTGTGAGGTACTTATTGAAATTGCCTTCTCATAACAGCAACTGATTAGAATGAATCTATATTTTAGGCCCATTTTCAAACAGAAGATTTCAAAATCTGTTTGAGAGAATCTGCTGTTCCATCAATCTACAAAGCAAACGATTTCAAGGACAAAATTCCATTATTATCACCACACAAAATACAAAACAAAATAATCATGGAAAAAGGGGAAATGATCGCAAAATTACATTATGAAATTGAAAATTTGAAAACGAAACTCAGAAAAGCAAGTAAACTACAACGTGATATATATTGAATGGCGTTTTTGGTGCTGACCGCGAATTGAAAATTCAACAGTGAAAAGTGAATAGATATTTATGTATCGAGGGAATTATTATAAGAGCCTTAATTACGCTGGAGGTTATCGTTTTGGAGATATTTTCTATATCGATCCATGTTACTTAGCTCCTAGGGCGCTAAGTGAAGTTGCTGAGAACTTAACAAAACCAAGTATTTGGTAGGTCTCGTCAAAATAAATTATTTTTTTCCCATGACATCTTTATCGAAAAATGATTTGTTCTCTGTATTTCAACACCCTGTATCTCCGAAATGAAGCATTTCCAGACACAAGCTTATATAGACTTTATTTCTTAAAATTGTCTCAGGAATACTTCACTGGAGTACAGTTTCTCATACAATAAGGAATTATAGCTATATATACGTTTATCCATATGTATATATTCTCTGATATTAAAATGTTGTTACATGCATTTTTTTCATTTATATAAATCTTGCTCTGCTAGAAGTGTAGGTATCACTATGAATTGAAGTGGGTGTTTGTACCCTATATCCATTGTCCATCTACGGCTATGATTGATTTGACAGAAAATATAACCTCTAAAATCGTATCTGACAATCAGGCGCTACTAGGGAAATTGAAAAGACAAAGAGCAGAATATATGTCTTATTCTTTTATTCACTTAAACCATTGTATTATAGAAAATAGAAAAGGACAAAAGTTCAGCTGTGTCCGAACTCTTATCAAACTGATACCATGCAGTGACTCTAACGGGTTCGAGCCAATCTTGGGTCTCTTTTTTCATTTTAGAATATCTTTATTGGAATATTCCAGGATCATTCAACATTGAATATTTGTTTGGACATATTCTATGAATATTTAAGGAATTCCCATTTGATATTTAGAGAATATTCCACAGATTATAACGTGATCAAATGTCTACTAAATGTAGTATGTTTCAGAAATGAATACTTTCTATAACCAAATATTGGTATTTATACGTGAACGTATTCATTAGACAAGCCAAGGTTGCCAGAGTTCCAAAAGTATGATATTCAAACTTTTGGCAAGGGTGCAGGAAGATTTCTCAATATTTCACCGGAAACGACTTTTTTCAAATCGGAAACCCTGTGTTTTTTTGTTCCATAATCGGTTAGGGATTACCATAAGAAATCCAACAATACCGGATTTGATAAGGTTAGTTCAAACGATTACGAAGATATTTGCGTTAGAAATTTCTTTTGCAATTTTTTATTATTTCCTTAGTTATTAGTAATTATTATACTATATTTGCTTCCTACATTGCATTTTTGTGACTTGTAATGAAACTGAAGAATGAACTTCTCGTCAATAGCATTAATATACTGATTCTGAAGTGGTACTCATTGTATAAGAATTAGGTACTTATTGATTTTGCTTACCATGTGAGGAAATTCTTTCCTAGAAGCTAATCTATCTGTTGCTCCATTTGAATTCAAATTCTCCTTTTCGAAAGCGCAACTAGAAGCTGAAGAATCGAGAGCATACTTTGCATATGTTTTACACACTGAAAATTAATAAAATAGAATCATCATTCACTTGTATTATCTAATTATGTTCATATACTAACTCTTATTGGCCGTATCTCCAGGAAGTTTTGGCAGACTCTCATTCAAACTAGCCGAAGAAACTGTAAATATAATAAAGATGATAAAGATAATTTGTTCCGGAAACATATCCGCGTTATAAATTCTCGTTGTGGACAATAGTTATTTTACTCCATTTAAATTCAACAATTTTGATTGATGATTGATATCGACGTGGAAGTAGAAATACTAGTAAAGATTGAATGCTTTGGTCGTTACCTTCATCTTACAAAGTATAAGTGTGGCTTGGGGTGAAAAGAATGAACATAGCATTCAGTCGATAGTGGTATCTTACTTTTTCCTGCTCGATCTGATCGTAACAGATGCAAAACGCACATGTATCTACGCTATATATTGCTGTATTATTTATGGGGCCAAGACAAAGAAATGAATCTCACTGAGCTTGAGAATTGATAGGGCAACAGTTTGAAGGGAAAACCATTGCAATCTACTCGATTGAATTACAAAGTATAGGTGTGGCTTGGGGTAAAGAGAATGAACATAGCATTCAGTCGATAGCGGTAGGTATCTTACTCTTCCCTCGATCTGATCGTAACAGATGCAAAACGCACATGTGTCTACGCTATACATTGCTGTATTATTTATGGGGCCAAGTCAAAGAAATGAATCTCACTGAGCTTGAGAATTGATAGAGCAAGAGTTTGAAGGGAAAACCATTGCAATCTACTCGATTAGTCAGGCGGCAATCAAGGCAGTCAACTCAATGCAAGTTAACTCAAAAGTTGTCTGGGGTTGCTTGGAAACTCTGAATGAACTGGGCAGTCACAACAAACTGACTCTAGCATGGGTACCAGCACATACAGGGTACGAGGGCAATGAAGAGGCAGGCTCACTTGCCCGAGCAGGAACAAACAAAGCTCTGAATGGCCCAGAACCCTTCTGTGATATTGCGAAAGCTATATAAAAAACTAGTATCAAATCATGGATGCAAACCAAATCTCGAGAATGGTGGAACAACTCGCCAGGAATGAGACAGGCAAAAGAGTTTATTAAAAAACCGTCGCCAACATTCACAGAATATCTACTGAGCCAGAAACGAAGTTCAACTAGAATACTAGTGGGACTTCTCACATGGCATTGTAGGCTCAACAAACATATGAATACGATAGGTCTGACTGAAGAACTGCTGTGCAGGTTCTGTCAGGAAGAGGAGGAAACAGCAGTAAACATACTTGGCCACTGTGAGGGCTTGTCAAGACTAAGGTGCTTTATGCTGGGAGAAGAACAACCAAGAGCCCAAACTTACACAGGGGATTTGATGACCAGTTTATGGAGTCTCATAGAGAATTCAAACGATTTCGAGGGCAGACACCAATAGGTCTGAAAAGATCGTGGTGTGGAGGCAGAGAGCCCGAAGGCCCCAATCTTAATATAAATCTACAGAATAATGATGGATTATATTTTGAATGCCTCTGTGAAATATTGTATTTTTGACCTGAATAACTAAATCTCATCACTTTTGTTGATAACTACGACACGATTCGTCAAATCATTGTTTATCTGGTCGGTTTAGTTTTTGGTTCTGCTTGGATCTCTGATGTATGTCAGTTATGGGGTGAAATTTGGACGTAATTACAAAGTATAAGGGTGACTGGTGGTAGAGAGGATGAACATAGCATTCATTCGATAGTGGTGCTTCCCCTACAGTCAAATGCGCGAATGGATGGTGTTAGCGCTCTTATTGCAGAGGTGACTAGGGGTGCTATCACTGTCCACTTGAAGAATGAAAAACTCACCAGCATTATGTGCAAATGTGAAGGATATCAATAAAAATACCGCACTAGCAAACATGTTTCAAGAACTCTCTTGACAACTACAAGCTCTCTGATGATTTCATAATCTTATAAGTAGTTTGGGAAGACAATCTCAAATATGTTGAGAGGTTGTTATTGACCGTGAACTATCTATAGATAGGTCATCACCAATTTGCATATCAACTAACAACAAAATCATATTATGGCATTCCCAATCTATTCATAACACGGCATTTCTCATACGTACAGTCCACGGTGCAGTGGCTGCTATCGTCTCCTCACTATACAGGGTGTTTGGTTCACCAACGTATATCTGGAAGGAGGTGGTAGGTAATGTAATTTAGAACATATTCAACCATATTATACGAAGTGTTATACTTTTCGAGAAATCGTCGCGCAAAAACATTTTTCAACCACATTTATATCCCATATCGTGTTCAATATCGATGGAATATACAGGGTGTTTCAGTTTTCTGTAGCAGGACTTTAACAGCTTGAAGAAGACATTTTTTCAAGATGAAAATCTCAAAAAAACATATATGCGTGGGACCTTCGTTTCCGATTCACAGGGTATCAAAGTTCCAGATATTTTTTATGTTTTTTGAATTTTCTCCTACAATTTCCGGAATAATTGATTGAAATTTGGTACACCAAATACACTTCAAAAACTCAATATTTGAGGCTATTGAGCGTTTTTGAATACCTACAGGGTGATAGACTTTCAGGGGTCGTACCCAATTTAACCCTGTAGAACTTTTTTTCGTGCCGCCTCTGCTTTCAATGGGACATGGATTCAGATTGTCTCTGTTATTTGCCTTTTTGCCCCCATGTATGTTTTTCGAAAACTGTATGGATTTCGAAATAAATAAAAGTAGAATCCGAACCACTTCTAAGGGTACTGATAAAATCAGAACTGCCGTTCACGAGATTAAATTATTAAAACTCACAACACCTCAACCGTCAGAAGCGACAGTCTAGCGATGTATAGCGCCTACCGCCTAGACCGTGTGTCATACCATCAGTCCCTGATGATATCGAAAGTTTAACCAGTTTCAGTTATTCAGATTTTGCAATCCAGTTAGAGAAGTTTTTTCAAAATAAAAACATTTTTTCTTTGTTTTTCCTAGTTTTAATTATAATGGTGTTCAAAAAGTTCAATCTAATTTTGCAACTGAATTTCATTTGGTATGGAAGCTTTCAGTCATTCTATTTTCCAATAAAATGTTTGAGAAATGTCAAATTAATGTATTTGAGAAATAACGGTTTTATTACAAGTAATTTATTTTTTGCATTTATCTCGAGATCCATACAGTTTTCGAAAAACTTACATAGGGGCAAAAAGTTTCCAAATTGAAAGGACAATCTGAATCTATGTCCCATTGAAAGCAGAGGCGGCACGCAAAAAAGTTTTACAGGGTTAAATTGGGTACGACCCCTAAAAGTCTATCACCCTGCAGGTATTCAAAAACTCTCAAATATTGAGTTTTTGAAGTGTATTAGGTGTACCAAATTTCAATCAATTATTCCGAAAATTGTATGAGAAAATTCAAAAAACATAAAAACAATCTGGAACTTTGACACCCTGTAAATCGGAAACGGAGCTTCCACGCTTATATGTTTGTATGAGATTTTCATCTTAAAAAAATGTCTTCTTCAAGCTGTTAAAGTCCTGCTACGAAAAACTGAAACAACCTGTATATTCAACTATTGAAGAAAAAAAGATACATCAGATGAAATGATTGAAAAAACATTGATATCTCGAAATTTTCGACATCTATGGTATAATGGTACATATTATGGATGAATATGTTCGAAATGTTTTTACCTATCACCCCCATTCAGATATACGTCGGTGAACCAAACATCCTGTATAATTATAATATTTAATCACACTCGCAAATGATCTTACAATAACTAGCATACTAACTGACTCTGGGAGACTGCTTACTGCCGGTCATAATTTCCAAACTTCTGATCTATTCCTCTCACAAATTACAGCTGATTGAGCAGATATAACTAACTACGGTTCGAAACATCAGATGGTGATTCGTGTTCCAATGAACATATGTCCGGAGTTGCTTCGATGCTGAGATACAGGGCGTTGAAAAGAAAAAACGGTATTTTTAAAATGTCATAAATATCCTTATACACCGATTTGGTTGAAATTTGCTTCAGTTATTTGAAGCAATAAGGCGCTAATTCAGCCCTAACTAGATTGAAATTATTAGGTTCAGGGGCGTCTCAGTCGGCAGCACAGCCAACATTATTAAAAAAGGCGACTGACTCTTTTTGTAGTTTTTCATCTCTCCAGATTGATTACTGCTTATTGACCACTCTGACCTCCATTGATATGACAATACTATCAATGTCAGCTAGTCTCCAAGCAGGTGTACAATATACAATATATGCAAAGTGGCTTCCATTTTTTTATAGAAATCGAATAAGCTACCCAGTAAACACACTTGTATTATTTACATGCATATGCCGTCAGTTTCATATGACGGATGTTCCATAACTTAATTTCCCCAAATTGACGTCAATGTGCTGTAAAAGGTAGATACAAAACTTACATGATGATATTTCGCTCGAATTTACAGCGATGTTCAATATGACAGTGATATCTCTTTCACATAGCATTATTGCATAATGAATATATAACATCTTCGTAACTATGGTTATGTTCATACAATATCTATTGAATTATGTCAATTTTATATAAATACATTCATAACAAATTTATCTTTAACAAACTGAGGTGAGTTTTCACGAACGAACACGAACGATAGATGATCGATCTCGACTCGCTGAAAGGTCGATGGGTTCTCGTCTCAAGTTAGAAATAAGATGGCGTCAACGTTATTATGTTTTGATGTGTTATTGTTCCTTGACCAGCAAGTTGAGCTATCGTGCTTTGAGGATTGAGCTATCTAAGTTTCAGAAATTTGATTTAATAACGTGGAATTCTCTAATTTGGTGAGTTGAATTAGTTATTATTGAATCTAGAGCGCGTAATGCTACTTTGATCGAGATCTGATTATTTCAACGAGGTGTAGCCAAGTTAAGAAAATAGTCGAGATGACCAAAGTATTTCGCGCTCGAGTTGCAAACAACATTTTTTCTACAGACGTCAAAAACTATAGTTCTAAAGTTAAAATATGCTTAGCTTGATATGAAAAAAATAGTGTTGAACTGGCTTGAAAGGCCTCCCCCTATCCTCCCTAGGTACGCACGATGTTCCACGAACATAATAGGAATTTCATTTCGTGCGCTCCAAGAGATAAAACAAAGTGTTGGAAATATCAAGCGTTTTCAGATGTTTTCAGCACACTTAGTATGTCACTTGTTTTTTTGAAGTTGTTGATAATAATGTCAGAATTGATTTGTCATTAGGATTATCATTCAATCTAATTGTATATACCCTGAATAAAGTTATACTCGTTGAAACAACAGGTTGTGGGCCCAGAAGATTTCCAAAAATTTAATCTGCAAGAAATTACACTGGAAAAATGAGTGGAAGTCAGATGAAAATTGAAACCCTGGGAAAAGATAACTACGATACCTGGAAGCTGCAGGTAGAAGCAGTATTGGTGAAAAACGAGTTTTGGGGATATGTAGATGGGTCTATTGCCAAACCAAATGCTGAGGATCAATCACCAGAAACATTCAGATCAGTCAGGCCGACGTACCTCAGTGTTAGGCCGGCGTACCTCAGTGTAGGCCGGCGTACCTCAGTGCTTCGATGCTTCAATATCGATTCACGTCGAGGTATCGATCGTGGGTTCGAGACCCACGAACGCAGACTTTTTCTGATGGCCTAAGAAAGTGTTTGGGATCACACGTTAAAAGGTAAGGCCCCCGTCATTCCTTGCTCGCACAAGTCTTTCGAAGACTTCTGAGGGTTGCTCGTAAGGGGTCAACCGAATGACGGATAGAACAATTTTAGAACAACAACAACAATTTTAGTTGAAAAATGGGGAATGGGCGATAGGAAAGCAAGATCGGATCTTATCTTGTGTATCGGTCCGTCAGAGTTAAAACAGATTAAATCTTGCCGAACTTCAAGAGAAATATGGCTGAAACTAGAAAGTATCTATCAGTCAAAAGGACCTGCAAGAAAAACAACTCTTCTGAAGAAATTGACTTTGAATAAAATGATTCCTGGTGGAAATGTACGTGAACATTTAGCACAATTCTTTGATATCGTGGACAAACTGTCTGAAATGGATTTGAATATCAATGAAGAACTGTTAGCAATAATGTTATTATATAGCTTGCCAGAAGAATTCGAGAATTTTCGTTGTGCCATAGAATCTCGTGATGAACTACCGAAACCCGATGCTTTGAAAATCAAAATTCAAGAAGAATATGATGCAAGAAATAGCAAAGAAGGGGAAATCGTACAAAATGCAATGTTTGCGAGGAATAAGAAGTAACGAAAGTTCATAAGTAATGGAAGCAGCAACAGCAGATCAGAAAATCCTAGAACATCCGATTTCAAGTTCAAATGCCATAAATGTCATAAGGTAGGGCATTAAGCTATTGGTTGTCGAGCACCAACGAAGAAGAACTCATTTCACACTGTAAATCAAGTAGAAGAGAGTTACATAGTAGAAATCCTCCAAGAACAAGTTTTCATGACAGACGTCAAGAGAAATTATACATGGTGTTTAGATAGCGGTTGTACTTCTCATATGAGTACTGCGGCAGAAAATTTCACAGAAATTAGTCCATGCTCGAGGATGTTGAACTTGGCGAATGATTTCTCAACAGAAATCAAAGGAATTGGAGAAATCTCCATACCAGTTACGGATGGAAAAAGTGAAAAGTCACTTCGATTGAAAAATACACTGCATGTGCCCGATTTACGAACAGATCTGATATCAGTTTCAAAAATCACGAATAAAGGACATGAAGTATTGTTCAAACGAACAGAAGCTGTAATTTTGGATGAAAACAAGGAAGTTGTAGCTGTAGCTGATCGAATTGGTGATTTGTATTTTCTCAAATCATTTACAGAAAATGTTAGTTTGGCAAATTTTGAACCAAATTCGAAAATAGATTAATGGCACCAGAAATTTGGACATTTGAATGAAGCTAACTTGAAAGGAATATGTCGA